TATAGAACCAAATGTAAGACTTTGTCAGGTGTTAAACCAGATATTATAAACATTTATTCAAATAAGAAAGTCCAACATAAAATTTTTATACAGTCATGCCTTGTTTTATTGCTCTTTGCTTTATTGCATTTTGCAGATATCTTTTTTTTTTTTTACAAATGGAAGTTTTATGGGAATCTGGCATCTAGCAAGTCTGTTAGCACCATTTTTCCAATGGATGTGCTCATATCGTGTCTCTGTGTCACAGTCTGATAATTCTCATGCTTCAAACTTTTTCATTATTATTATATCTGTTATGGTGATCTGTGATCAGTGATCTTTGATGCTACTATTTTAATTGTTTTGGGATGCCATGAACCGTGCCCATACAAGACAGGGAACTTAATCAATTAATGTTGTGTGTTCTGACTGCTTCACCAACAGGTCATTCCTCAGTCTCTCTCCTCTCCTTGGGCTTCCCTTATTTCCTAAGATACAACAATATTGAAGAATATTACATATACGTAGTTGTTAAAGCAGAGGCAGTGTTTGAGAGGATTGATTCCAATTTGAAAAGAAATTCTACTATGTGTAAAATGCTATCAAACAGCATCATATGCTACAGATAAGTGTGCTGTGAAAAGAATCAATCAATGTGGCAAACTCCATTGTTGTCTTATTTTAAACCACCTCACCCACCCCACGGGCACCCCAATTGTCGGCAACCACCTCCCTGGTCAGTCAGCAGCCATCAACATTGAGGCAAAACCCTCTACCAGCAGAAAGATTATGACTTGCTAAAAGCTCAGATGATGGTCAGCATTTTTTTTTTAGCAGTGAAGTATTCTTTAATTAAAGTATATACTTTTTTGGACATAATACTGTTGAATACTTAGTATACTACAGAATAGGGTAAACATAACTTTTATATACATTGGGAAACCAACAAATTCATATGACTTGCTTTACTGCAATATTTGCTTTATTGTGGTGGTCAGGAACCGAAACTTCAATGTTTCTGAGCTATGCTTGTATATGGATTGTTCTGCTTTACATAAGTGGGTGGTTCCACAGAGCTCTATGTAAAGCAATTTTTAAATAATGTGAATTCACCTATGGTTGTAGGTAAGGGAGGGAGGGAGGGAGGGAGAAAGGCATGAATGGGGCTGAGTGCCAGTGGAGAGATGGGCCAAGGACACATGGGAGCCAACTGAGAGCAAGAGTAGGAACATACAGGCTGGTGCCAGCCACTTGGAGGCCCGGCTGAACCTAGAGGAGAGAAAGAAGAGAGAGGAGGGGGGACCAGAAAGGCACTAGGGGATGGGATGGGTGGGGAGGGGTGTGGAGAACAGGAACCAGATAGGCAGAAGCCAAGCAGGACACACTGACAAGTGAATGGAGGTAGGCAAAGGTCTCCTCTCTCAGTGCCTGAGCTCTCAAGCCAAGCCCCTTATCAGGCAGTGGTAGTTTCTCCACACATCTATTCTTCTGCTTTCACTTGGAGGGTTGGTTTTTTTTTTTTTGTAGTGGGGTGGGAGGCCACAGAGCACCAATGGGCAGAAGTGGAGAGAGAGAAAGAGAGAGACAGAGAGAGAGAGAGAGAGAGAGAGAGAGAGAGAGAGAGAGAGCAAGAGAGAGAGAGAGCACAGTACTAAACTTAGATTTTTTTTAGAATGTGGATTTCTTTCGTAATTCTTCATGTAAAGTCAAATTTGTGTAATGTGAATTTATGTAAAGTGAGAGCTGTCTATATATGACTATCATATTATACTAAACATCTAAGTTGTAACCCATTTATGAAAATGTTTTTTATATTCAATGAATTTTGTGTGATAAATAAATTTAATATGAAGTCTTACAGATGAGCCTATAATATCTTGCTGGATTACTTATCTGAATTCTTACTGAATGTCCCTTGTAAAATATTTCTAATTATTTTATTATTAGAATTTTATGATTTCATATTTAGAGTTTTTATAATTATAGGTAGAATATATTTTTATAATTATATGACACATTTTAATTTGGAGCTTTCAGGGGCAAATGTTATCATTGTAGTTATTGTAAGCATTGAGTAAATAAATCTAAAAGAATATTATGAGCAATATATTACATTACTCTGGGGTTGACAACACATTTTGTTGTTGTTGAAAGGGGTTCATGGAACAAAAATGTTAAGAGCCATTGATTTACTTACTCAGTTCCATACCAAAGAATTGCTTTATAGTGTGAGAAATAATAAAACTTTTCTGAAAGAACAAAAAGCCAAGGATCTCAGGGAAAATAATGAAAAAAAAAACAATGAGAAGAAAGAGGGCCCTAGAAGTACCAGACCTCAAACTATGCTATAAAATAGTAATCATCAAAACAATTTGGCTCTAGTTAAGAAATGGAAAGTTTGATCAGTGGAACAGATTAAGTACACAGTATAAAGAAATAAGTGAGCAAATAGCCTAGTTTTAATAAGCCCAAATATCTCAGCTACCAGGCAAGAACTCAACAAAAGCTATTGAGAAAACTGAAAAGCAGTCTGTCAGAAACTAGATATACATTAGCATCTCACACCATATGACACGATAAGCTTCAAATGGGTATATAACATACACATAAAAGATGATTTCATAAGCAAATTAGAGCAGCAAGGAAGAAATTATCTATCAGATCTATGCATATAAAGGAAGATTTCATAATCAAACGGGATAGAGAGGATCACAGGAAGTAAAATGGAAATTAAAATTACTTCAAATTAAAGGTTTTTGCACAAGCAAAACCAGTGCAACTAAAATTATAAAGAAGCCAGTAAATGGGGGGAAAAAACCAAAACTCATTGTGCCATTTTTTTTTTTGTGATGAACTCATTTACTGGATATGTAGGGAACTGATTCAAATTAAAATCAAGTTGTAGACATTTACTAGCTGTGCATCCCTGGGCAAGTCACTTAAATTCTGTTTACCTTAATCCAGCGGAGAAGTAAATGGCAAACCACTCCAATATCTTTGCCAAGAAAACCCCACAGACAGTATGAACCACAGGGTCACAAAGAGTAGGACATGACTGAAGGACTAAACAACAGCAACGACAAAGGATATGAACGACAGTTTTCAGAGGAAGAAGTCCAAGCTATTATCGCCATCTGGGGAAAAATGGTCTAACTCATGATTAGAGGAATACAAATTAAAACAACTCTGGGTCTTTGTCTAGTGCCCATCAGATGGCAAAACTGAAAAAAATGGAAAATCACAAATGCTGGAAGGGCTTTGGGAAAGCAGTTACATTAATGCCCTGTTGGGGCAGCTGTGAACTGGCCCAGCCATTCTACAAAGCAATTTGGGACTATACCTCCAAAGCAATTATGCCGCATATACCCTTTGACCCAGTAATGCTAATACTATATTTACAATCTATACTCCAAAGAGATCAGAGAAACAGAAGGACCCACACGTACAAAAGTATTTATAATAGGTCTTTTTGTGGTTACAAAGAATTGAAAACTGAGGGAATCTTCCCCAGTTGGGGAATGGCTGAACAAATTATGTGTGAATGTGATCAAACACCATTGTGCTATAAGAAATGATGAAAGGGACGGCTTCAGAAAAGGTAGCGAAGACTTGTATGAATTGATACATAGTGAGGTGAGCAGAACCAGAAAAATTTAAACAGCAAGAATGTAAAAACTAAGAACTTTGAAAGACTTATGGACCCTAATGAATAATGAAAACTGATGAATGCAATGACCAGCTACAGTTCTAGAGAACTCATGATGAAATATGTTACCTACATTCTGATAGAGAAGTGATGGTATCACACTGCAGAGAGAGACATAATTTTTTTTTTGGAGTGTGGACAATTTGTTTTGCTTGACTCTGTGTCTTTACAACAGGGGCTTGCTTTTTTCTTGCTTTCTCCGTGGTAGCATATAGGTGGCACAGTAGGAGAGATTGAAGGTTGATATTCATTTAAAAAATATTTTAAAAGCTATCTTATAATTATTTTGTAATTGTAATTATATTATAATTATATATTATTGTATATTACATTATTATATAATTATGTATTATACATTATATATTATATAATTATATGTTACATAATTATAATTCCCTTTATATTTATTTTGTGTAGGCTTATGCGTGTACTAGTTGTTTCCTCCATTAGGATATGAACTCCTGGAGAGAAGGCATTTTTTAAAATTTTTCCCTTTGTATTTGTATCCCCCGTGCTTCATGCAGTGTCTCTGGCAGAGGTTGTATTCAATAAATTCTTGTTGATTTATGATTCCTTGGAAGTTGTTGTTAGAAGATAAGTATATCTCAGTGTCACAGGCTATTTGCAAAAACAAAATAAATGTGCATAAATTAAATAAATTAGATTAATTTCATAATTCTGTTGCTAGATTGTAAACTGTTGTAAGTGCTAAGACCATGGCTTACACATTTTTCTATGCCATTTCACTCCCACAGTGCCTTGCATTCTAGGTGCTTGAAAAACGTTTGTTGATCTGGTTTGTGTGTTTTTCTGCTCTTTGCCAACAGCTTCTATACAAACACATTAAATTTTAGAGCTGAAAGGTACCTTAGAGATGATTGGTTCATCTTTTACTCTACACTTGGGGAAACTGAGGACTAGAGAGCTTGAATGATTCACGCAAGACATGACAACAAATTTAGGTGAGAGTCAGAACAGGAATACAGGTCTTTTGTTACCTAGACTCTGACCCTCTAGGGCTCCTTTCATTCTGTTATGCCATCTCCATATAACCTTATTCTCAGATCAGCCTTGGGAAGTAGGTTGGGCAGATATTCTTAGAAAAATTAGATAAGGTCACTGAGAAATATAAGCAATGGGCAAAGATCAGAATTTCAAGGACTGGCTGTCTGAAATCAGAATTTTAGGGAGTGGTAAATTACCTCTAAATAAGATAATAATTATAGCTCACATTTATAAAGCATTATAAGGTTTACAATTGTTTATCTCACAATAATCCCATGACATAGACAATGCAAGTATTTTTTTTTTACAGATGAGAAAACTGAAGATCAGAGAGGCTGTATGACAGACACCCAGAGTCATCTACCTGCTGAGCATCACCGTCAGGATTTACACCCAGATCTTTCTTGATTCCAAGGCCAGGGTTCTTTCCACAAAGATGTAGAAAGGTGGCTAGAGAAGTGAAGGGGTAGATAAGTAGGGGGGAACCCTCTCAAACCTATTTCAGGGAGACTTCTGGGAAGCAGGGTGTGATTAACTTCTTAAAGGCATGTCATTAAAATGAGCAAAGATGAATTTCTCACATGAAGCTGATGCAGCATACTGCCAAGGAGACTGACATTTTAAATTTTCTTTTTGACATGTACAAGTGGAGGAGGTGGTCTGGAACAGTGGAGAACATACTGGAAGACTTGGGCTCTTCTCCAATACCTACTACCTTTCTGACATCGAGAAAAAAACAAAACAAAACAAACTAGCTTCTCTATGCTATAGTCTTCATCTATAAAGCAAGGAAGTTGGTCTTGATGGAAGGTCCCTTCCAGCTCTGAATCTTTGATCCTATGAACTCCTTAATTCCTTTCTTAAAGCGATGATTCTTATAGAGTCTCCACTGTCCCCCTATCCTTACCCACCAACTAAGCATTGGGGAAAGGCAAAGGAGAAAAATTCCTCCATTAAAAGAATAGTCAGGGAATGGGGAAACCAAGAAATACTAGTCCTACCTCTAATTATATTTTATGTGAAGACCAGAGATCACAACTCAAGTCAAAAAACATTTATTGAATTTCTATTGAGTTCCAAAGGAGATACAAAGACCAAAAAGGAAAAAAAAATGTAGTCCATGTTCTTTGGGATCTTATCATAGCATTTTGATGATAAAATACATATACAAGTAAGTCCAAAATGATTTTAAGGGGGAGAGAGTGCCTACAGGCTTTAAAATTTTCTTATAAATTTATATAATATATAATAGCATAAAATTTTCTTATAATTTTATAATGATCTTCTTTTGTTTACCAGGAAACAAAACAAAAGGAACACTTAGAAAAACCAAGTAAACATTGTCTGCTTTTTAAAGAAAGAATAGGTCAGAGGAGAAACGGGAAACCTGAGTTCTTTTATCCAGGGTTAACTAGGTGGGAGAAGTCCAGAAAAAAATGGGGCAGCAGTTTACAGTGACAGGCATCTGTGAAAAGGCCCTGGGCTTGAAGGCAGAAGAAAGGATACAGGAAGCACACATTGGATACAGAAATATCTCCTGCATTTTACACAGCACTAATTTCCCTTGACATAATAACAAGTAAAAATCAAAAACTTTTAAGATAAAAATGTGTTCATTGACTATTTCATGACGAGTTCATTGAAAACTTCTATGAGAGCTCCAAGTGGAAAAAAAAATATTAAGGTTGTCAAAATGGATTCTTTGGCAATGTCCAAAAGGATAGACATTTTTTGCAACTGATTGAATGCCGACCTTCATAGAAGTTGGGTGCTGAGCTGGGTACCTTCTAAAGTGTAGCACATATGTACCACTCCCTCTTGGATTATTGCCCTTAGCCTCCGTTCGCATTGGCAGGTTAGGTCCCTGGAGAGCTGCTAATGATCTCTCAGGGTACTAGGTATAACCCTAAGGGTTGTTGAGGTTTTCTAGTTCTCTCCTTCATAAGCCACAACTGCTATGCTTCCTATTAATTATCAGCCAGACAATTTATTTTTAAAAAGGTATTTATTAAGCAGGTATAGGAAAGTGTGGAGATTAAGGTTCGAGAGATATAGTTTCTGGGCAATTTAATCATTTTATTAATAAGGCCAACATTCTTACTAATAAAAAGATGGTCCTTGGCTGTCTCTCTTAGACCAAGACAGGGGCTCACAGTTTACATATCCTTCAAAGAGTAGGTGCTCCCCAGGGTGGGAATCAACCCTGATTGGTTAACAGTTAATGAGAGAATGGATATTACAATGGACTATCTCTATACCCAGACCACCCCAAGCTTGGGCAATCTATTCAAAGAACTTATACCCCAGCCAAGCCTGAGCAGAATGCAACACTCTACCTGGGTAGAGTCTGAACAAGAAAGTTAGTCCAATCTCATTATCAGCAATGTCCTTCAAGAGATTAAATTTTTTAAAATTAGGATTTAAGAAACAGGGGGAAACTCTAGATCTCTCTAAATCATTGGTTATTAATAATCATTTCTCTCAAAGGGCAGTTATAGTAACTATCCCACTGCCCCATAATGGAGGCATGATCTCCTCTTGCATACCCAAGGTCCCTGGGAAGAGTAGACTCAAACTTATAGTATAAAGGTAGTGAGACACAGTGTAAGGAAGCCCATCTGGCAATAGGGTAACCTACATCTCCTCATTGTCGTTGTTCAGTTGTTTCAGTGCTGTCTCACTCTTCATGACCCTATTTGGGGTTTTCTTGGCAAAGATACTAGAGTGGTTTGCCATTTCGTTCTCCAGCTCATTGTACAGATGAGGCAACTGAGGCAAACAGGTTTAAGTGACTTGCCCAGGGTCACACAGATAGTGAATATCTGAGGCCAGATTTAAAATCATGTCTTCCTGACATCAGGTCTTCCTGACTCCAAGTCTGGCACTCTTTCTATGTACCACTTGGCTGTCCATCTCCTAGTTAGGGGAAGCCTTTTTATCTCTTTATGAAGCACTCATAAAATTCACCTGAAATGTGGCTCGATACTGGGCTCCAAGGGTGGGTGCCTTCATGGAGTCCTGTAGCTGTCTTTCTTTGGTATACCTAGTTTGTCTTTGTGTGTCTTTCAGGTGAATGCTGATGAGACCTTTAGGTCTTCTAGTCTTTCAAATTTTACAAGGTTGTAACTCAGCCAATTCTGTCACTGGCAAAACTAAATAGTCTTTTCTCAGTTGTCTTCTGTTTGCTATTGTTATTGGCATGTCTCTGCTCCCAGCTGGACATGTCGTACCCCACTTGTCTAGTCTCTTGGGTAGCATGATCAATAGGGAGGCAGGAGGGGAAAGAGAAAAAGTCCTTCTCAGGGATCTGGAATTCTTAGCTCCTGAATTTGGAGTTTTTTCTAACTTGACTAACTTGACTCCAAACTAGCTTATCATTTTTAAATGTCCCCCAAGAGTTATAACTTGATATTCTTCAAGCAATCACCAAATATGTCTTTGTATTACCCTGTCACTATCCAATGACTCGAAGCCCCAGTTCTTTCAGATTGACTAAAGACTATTCGTGACTAGTTTCTTTTTGATTGATTGATTGATTTAATCAAGATGTCTGGGTCTTTTGTGTTTAATGGGGAGGGGGTGAAGATGGATGCCAGCTTTTACAAATGAAAAGCATACTATACTTAGGTCCAGATCCCAGTTCTATGCTTACCAGACTTATGACTTTATGCAAAGCTCTTAGTCAATTTGTGCCCTGGGTTTGACTTTTATTGAGTAATTTTTCAGTCATGTCTGACTCTTTATGACCTCATTGAGTTTTTATTGTCAAAGATACTAGAGTAGTTTGCCATTTCCTTCTCCTATTCATTTTAGAGATGAGGAAACTGAGGCAAACAAGATCACAACACTCTGTCTGAGGCCAAATTTCAACTCAGGAATTCACGAAGTCTCTCTGACTTCAGATCTGGCACTCTGTCTACTGCTCCATCCACTGCGCCACCTAGCTGTCCAGGTTTGAACTAGATGGTGGTTAAATTTCCTTCTAGCTCTTCAATCCTCTTTTTTGAAAAGGAAACTTAACCACTTGCATTGATATAGGAAATTCCTTTTCCCATGAGGTCCCTATACCAGTGAAATCACAGTCCCAGTCTCTATCACTGATATTGTTATTAAATTTCAGTAGTTTTTTCCTGAAATATAAAAGGGAGGCCTCTTTTCTAGAAAGTCAGTAGGGACATCACCAATGCAGGTCAGCACGTTGTTTGCAGCCTTGGAGATTTGTTTCATGGAAGACTCTGTGATAATGAATAACCTGTTTCCTCATCCTAATAATTAAAGATTGATAGCCACAACTAACATTTATACAGCACTTTAAGGTTTGCAGAACACCCTTCTCACAATAGCTCTGTGAGGGAAATGGTGTAAGTTATTGATATCCTATTTTATAGATGATTTAATTGAGATTTGAAAGAAAAAGTAAATGGTTTGCTCAAGATCAGAGTTGGGAAGTAATAAAGTAGGAATTTGAACCACTGTCTTCAAGGAATATGATAAAGTTGTCTTTGATTGTTTCAACCTAGGGGTGGTGGGGTAGTGGTGTGGTGGGGTGGTGGGGTGGTAGAAAAACACTTTCCATGTAATTGGAGACCGTCTTGACTCCATCAAGTGTTACTCTGGACAAGTTGTTCAACCTTTGAGTATCAGTTTTCTCATTTGTGAACTGGGGATGATAACAATACCTATACCACTTAACTCACCAGATTTTTGTGGAACAAAGTGATTTGTAAACCTTAAAGTGCTATATAAAAATGTGTATTATTATTATTATTATTATACGAAAGTAAGGTACTAATATGATCTAGAAGAAACATTTGGCACTTTTTAGAAGATGGTATAAGCATTAGAAATGCCTGGGCCTTCACAGGATTGTGAAGAAAGTTGGCTGTTCTCCCCTGAGGCTTTTAATGGCTTTTAAGAGCTAGTGTCTGGGGGTGGTGGGGTGGTGGGGAGAGGGAGCATAAATTACCTCCAAGCAGCCTCCTCCTCCTCTTCCTCACCATTACCACCATCTTCCTCCTCCTCCTCCTCCTCCCCTTTCCCCTCCTCCTCTCCTCTCCCTTTCCCCCATCCTCTCCACCCCACCTCCTCACTTTCCCTTGGAATGGACCACCCTGAGTCTTAAGGAGAACCCCAGGCTTGCCATAGTCAGCAAAAAGCCAAAGGAAGGAGTCAAGACTTAAAAACAACGACCACATTAACTTGAAGGTGGCAGAGCAAGATGGTTTGATGGTGCAATATAAGATTAAGAGACACAAACCACTTAGAAAACTAACGAAAGCCTGTTGTGAACGACCCGGTTTGTCAATGAAGCAGATCAGATTTCTATTTGATGGGCAACCAATCAATAAAACAGACACACCTGTGCAGTTGGAAATGGAGGATGAACATACAATTGCTGTATTCCAGTAGCAAACAGGAAGAATTTACTAAAAAAGAGAACCTGCAATTCTGCTCCAGAACTGTGTTCCCAAGGAAAACAATACATTCACAATTGGAAAACCAAGATTTGGTGCATCCACAACCTGACTACCGCAGCATAGTATTCTCATCTTTGATTCCCTTTCTCCATTCCTTTATTGTACATAAAGTAACTGGTGTATATGCACAGGCATGATGCCGTTTTGTTTTTTAAACCTAAAGACTGATGATATGTTTTGATCAACAGCAAATGGAGATGGGGAGGGAGAATACAGACTATTTCTGTGAAAATATCCCCTTTCTCCATTAGTAGCATGCTCATTCAAAT